CAAATTGAGACATCCCCACAACCACTCCTCAGCCATGTGTAGAAATAACATGACCTTGACTTAGAAGAAGAATGCTATGATGTCTAACCATACACGCTCCAAGAAGTTCCCCCCTCTCATTTTCCCAGGCTCAAGAATGTGGCAGTGTGGAAGCGTCTGGTACTAACAGCGCTTCCAAAGCTGACAGTAACGTTACAATCAGTCCTTACATTTATGATCTTTGCAAGTCTGTAAAGCAAAGGAAAGTTGAAGTAAGATAATAAGCACAATTGCAACCACTTCCCTTAATGATGCAATTTCCAGTCCCAATTGTGGCCACTAAATGAGGATTACCTGGAACAATAATATATTTCATAGCTTCTTCTAAAGGAACTCCCACAATTTAGCTATGATCTCAGATGGATACCATCCTGCACTGCTATTTTGAAAGGGAGTAAGTATTTGAATGTCAATATAATTATTTTGAGACTTCAAAGCTTATTGCTAGCATCCTTCAGCAGGCCAAGGAATGTGGGATATGGTGCAATTGTCTCTGTGTGCCTTTCCAGAAAACCAAAGTTGAGAATTGGTTTTTAGCAAACCTTCTGACTGGGGTGTTATCGTATTGGAAAAGTGCTAAGGTACAAGTTTCTGAAAATTACTTCTGTTCAATGAGATGGAACCCACCCACCACCAGGATCAACCTGGAAGGACCTTGAGACCTTAAAAGCCTTTTTACTATGCTGGGTTCTCAGTTTCTTCTTTAATATTCATTTGATTTCATTGTACAATGCATGGAAATTTTGGAATAGAAAACTATTATTATTGTTGTCCTTGTCAATTTAGCATATCACATTACCTTTCAATATAACGGAAAAAAAGAAAAGGTAATATCGTTTCAATCAAGTCTCCATTATTCACCAGGGATGGGGAGGGAGAATCCCATAATGGTTAATTTCCTCTCTAGCTGCCTTGATACAATCAGCAGTTTCATGCCTTTGGCCTCCTGAATGCAGAGACACTCGGTTGTTTGAAGTCTTGATTTCTAGATATAGCCATTACAAGTACGCACACAGCTCCTAGCTAAGCAAAGTCTCCCCACTCAGAGATGATTACTCAGAGATGATTTGGCATCAAAAATAGGAAGCACAGAACCTTGCAATAGCACCACATAGTGGCCAGTTGAAGCAGGACTGCTTAAGGCTGATCCAAGTTGATAAAAGCAATGGAAGGTTGTCTAATCTCCATTTCCCATGCATAAGGGCCCCTCTTTCACATTGTTCTCTAGTAAACTAGTCCCAGGGCTGTCAAACTCCTGGTCCATGAGACGGGTGCATCGTGCACTGCCCACACCCAGGTCCAGTTTAGTGAAGGAGAAAAAAGTCCCAATACGTTAGGTGACACTGCCATGACCCCTGTCCTAGATCAATAGGTAAATATGCTTAATGATCATTCTTTGGCTTTATCTACCGGACAACTTCAAAATGGGAATGACAATGCAAGCACCACTCCTGGGAGAGCCTTTAATGGATTGTTTCATTGAAATGCTTTCCTACAACTGTCTTCCTTGCTGTGGGAGGATGCTTCCTGCTAGAACTGGATGATCTAGCTTGCTTGCTGTATTTACAGAAACAAGAACTAGAATGTCAATAACACTGACCTGTCTGATATATTTATTCACACCCAGAGAGAAAAAGTTATTAAGAGTTCATTTCTTTTCTGCTGCATCACACCAGATAGCCACAAAAGGGCAGCTTCAGGTTTCCAACAAAGGCCAGGCACTGTCAGCCACCTTTAGAATGCTCACAGACTATCCCTGAGAAGTCCAGGGTGAATTTAAGAAAGAAATAATGGTTCTGAGAAACCCTCAGAAGCATATTGGTATTCCTTCTCTCGTACTTCTTCCCAATTAGTAAAGATACAAAATGGGATTTGCAACAAAAATGCAAAAAGGTTCCCGTTCCATTCCCCAATCCATTAACTTTTTGCCTTCCTCTGTTAGGCAATAATATTCAGGCCTAGCTTGAGTTTTTTCACAAGGCAGCCACATCCCTAACCTGCTTTTCAGCTCCATTCTTGGGGGATGGGCGGGGGAGGGGGGAGGAGGGGGGGGAGAGAGAGAGTGCCTCAGAAGACTGGCTGTGATGTTCTCTCTCTCTCTCCCTCCCTCCCTCCCTCTCCCCCCCTCACACACACACAGAGGGCCTACACACACACACACACACACACACACACACACACACACACACACACACACACCCTCTCCAAGGCAGCCACATTCTTAATCTGCTTTTCAGCTCCCTTGTCAGGGGGAGAGAGAGAGATATCTAATCTCGGAGGACTGGCTGTGATGCTCTCTCTCTCTCTCTCTCTCTCTCTCACACACACACACACACACACACACACCACAGATCCCCCTCATGCACACTCCACCCTCCAAGGCAGCCACATTCCTAACCTCTTTTCAGCTCCATTCTCAGTAGGAGAGAGGGGGGGGGTATTCTGCGATCCCAAATAAAAAACGATTTATCGATAGGAAATTCCCCCACCCTCTTTTCCTACTGATCGATCATTCTTTACCATCTTCAGCTCCGTTCTCAGGGGGAGAGAGAGAGAGACTTTTGGCTTCATGCAAGGAAAGCAGCAGAAGCAGCAGAAGTCCCAAACTCCACCAGAAATGAGTCTTTGCCAGTGCAGCCTCTTGGAGCAGGATGCCTTGCAGGGTCCCAAAGATTCATTTCTGGCGGAGTTTGGGGGAGAGAAAGACTTTTGCTGCTTTCCTTGTATGCAGCCAAAAGCAGAACAAAGAAGTGGAAAGAAGCAGCCTGGCAGCCAGGCGAGGCGCATGGAGCGAATGGGGCAAGTTCTCCTCACTTCGCCATTTCCCCCCTCCCCTCACTACCTTATGTTGTTCATAATGCAAGTGACGTAAGCCTTGTGTTCCTGCGGGCCATGTGGGTGGTGTATCCTTGTTCCCACGCAGCCTGGATTAATTGCTTTGTGGGTGCCATTTCTCTGTGGACCAGCAACATTTTCTCAGGGACTACCAGTGGCCATGGCCCACCTATTGGCAACCACTGGTCTACACAGTTTACAGTTGCTGAAGTTGAGAAACAGTGTGCTAGAGCAGAGGTCTCTAACCTTGGCAACTTTTAAGACTTGTGGACTTCAACTCCCAGAGTTTCTCAGCCAGCTAGCTGAGGAACTCTGGGAGTTGAAGTCCACAAGTCTTAAAGTTGACACGGTTGGAGAGCCCTGTCCTAGAGTTTAAAGAGTTGTTTGGCAAGAGCCTGTCTCTCCCTTGCACCCCAAACAATGAGGCCTTGTCCCTGCCAAATCTTTCAGTTTATTTTTCACTGCTAGTCTTTGCACATGCATTCTAAAACCTCTTGTCCTTATGCTTTATCAGAATTATCTTCTTCTTTCTCATCTTTTCTCAACAACTCTTCAAAATGTAGGAGTTGTCACTACAATTCTCTGGTGAAATGTTGGGAATGCTTCAACATTATTTGATTTCAGCATTATAACTCTTAAAGACCCCAATTTGCTTTATGAGATTAATTTTCCCCACTCACTCTTTCAGAGGCATAAACTGTAAAATTTTGCATGTTTTACAATAGACAGTTGTCTGGTCTGTCACAAACAGTTTTTTTGCTTGAGATTCACTCTGTAGTGGTTAACTTTAAAAAAGAACAGATGCCTTTCTCCAAACCACCTACTATATTTTCAGAATTGTTTGTCAGCTCTTTCTATTGAAAGTTTAACTGAATTCACCACCACCTGTTGAATCATTTGCAAATTCATAAAACTCTGTCTTTTCCATCCCACTTAATCTGAAGTGCCCTCATTGTTCTTTAAGTTAACACTGTTCTGTGTTAATTTTAAGGAGGGCCGAACCACAATAATCTTGATGGAGGCTCAAATGTTGCGGCTTCTTTACAGCAGCCATTTCATATTATTGTTTTTTTAAACAAAGCACTTGAAGAGGATCACTTCATCCCTAAAAATATAATCATAGACTCTCTAGAATCTCTGCAAATCATGTGAATGACAAATAGCATCACATCTCAACTAATTATGCAACACACATACACACACACGCAGGGGTGGGATTCAAATTTTTTAACAACTGGTTCTGTGGGCATGGCTTAGTTGGTGGGCATGGCTTGGTGGTCATGTTATTGGCTGGGTGTGGCCAGCTCAATATCACTCACATCAAGGCACGCATCTCCTCGCATGGCCTCTCGTGACTGTGGGGCTGCTGCAACCATCATAAGTGTGAAAAAGGGTCATAAGTCACTTTTTCAGTGCCATTGTAACTTTGAATGGTCACTCCACACAAGCAAAGTACCAGCAAAGGAGGGGGAAAAAAACTCCAGAGAGGTTCCTGAGACAGGAAATCTAGTTCTGCCAAGAGCGTAGTAAGGGTTAATGGAGAGGCAGTTTCTGTAAGCAACACCAGAATGTTTCCTTCCTGCCTTCCTTACAGGATTAGGCCAGTAATTTCTTCTAAAAACCGGTTCTCTGAACTGCTTAGAATGTTAACAACTGGTTCTAGCGAATAGGTGCGAACTGGTAGAATCCCACCCCTGCACACTTGCCGAGAAATATACATGGAAGAAGAATAAAAAAGCCATCGCATCAGTTCTGCTTGAAACCAGTCAAGCCTATTTTTTATTTTTTTATCTTAAAAAACACACACATAAGACACAATCACCTAGCCTTTAATGCTGGAAGTGTACATGAATTTTACATAGGCTACGTCTACCATTGTCAAAAATCCCATCCCCATAAATCCCACCCAACTAACGTACAGATTGATACAGATTGATACATAACATTAAACATTAAAACAGGCTTTTAAAGATGTGGATGAACCTCAGGCCATTGGAGAACATCCCAGTTAGAAGGCTAGGGGATTGGAATACAAGAACATCCTTTAGTCCAACAGATATGTGGTCAGTGAACTTGGAAAGTAAACAGAGCAGGTTACATGTTATGTCATCTGGTTATCCTTTTCAGAATGATATACCTTTTGGTATAAGGCAACAAAAGTGTTGAGACAAATATTAGCTCAACAACTCTTCTCATACTCCAGCAAGTCAGGTCTTCATAATTGCGTCTATCCCATGTAATATAAAAAGTGAGGCACAGATGTGTAATGTAATGGCTTCCTTAATCAGAGTGCTTTATTAACCCAGACCATCCTGATCCTTCAGTCCATTTTCTGGGAAAAGTTTTTTCAAGAAAGAAATATGGAAGCAACAAGAAATACTAGAAACAGTTTTTAGTTCTTTCTACTCTAGGAATGTCTTTGTTTTTAGGAATAGGGCAAAGGAAAAGGATTAGGATTAGAGATGGGTAAATAATACTGTACAAGAAACATGTATTTTAATACAAATTATTTAGTTATACAAAGATTCTGAAATGAATATTGTAATGTCACTAGACCACACGTACTGAATAGTTCCAAGAAGGAAACTAAAGTATAGTTAGGTGTTGAACAAAAGTTGCAGAATAGCAAATGGTTCAACCACTGCTTAATAGTAGTTAGAGACTAATGGTAAAATTAGAGCAGTCAGTCATGACAAACAAAAAGTAAGATTTCTACTTTTATGTAGCAGGATCTCTCAGAATGACTTCTGATGATCTCATGTCTAATCAAATTGACAAATGAATCATATTCCTATTATTAATATCCTGAATCTGTCTAAGTAATAGTCAGACTGACCTGCCTTTGAGAAAAATGCAGCCACTTAAACTCCAAGATCTGATTTTTACAGGCAAATTTTAGAGTTGGACTTAAGCTGATTTAATTTCAGGAAAATTAGTGAGATTCGGCTCATGGGAGCTTACTAGACAAATTCCTGTAACACAAATGCTCTATTGCCTTTTTGAAACTAGTATTTTTTTTTCTTTCCTGTGAAATCTTTTCAACACAAATTGTATGCTTAATTTCTGCATACCAGATTCTCACCTACACCCTCAAACCACAATGTAATTGAACACGTGAGAATTACTGAAAATGATGAAGTTTAAATCTCTGCATCATCAATTGTTTAAAAACTGTCATGGCTATAATGAGAAGCTATCACTTTTGGGAATGTTCTTATTTCATGTATTTCTACTGTATGAAAGAAAAAAGAAAGGCAAGCACACATTTATTTTAATCATGCTTGTCCGTTTAAGTATACAGAAATAAGTAGGAATAAAGGTGGCCCCTGCATCTTTTAGAAGAACAAGTTCCATACAGTTAATCTTCATATTTATGAATCTTCTACTTCTTGGCTGTAGCTCCAAAATTGAAATACGTCTTATTAAATGGTTCTTGGTTCCAGTTCATGTCACTAAAATTGCCATAACCTGTCACTAGTTGACCAGGATTTAAACAGGCTAGATGATTTAAACAAGATGATCCAAACAATTCACATAGCTCTTAGAGCGTGCCGTTCTTTTAGCCTGGCTGCATGTTTCAAAAGACATGGCCAATCTAGCTTGCATTCTAAAAAAACCACAAAAGTAGGAAACCAAGCTTTTTGGAAAAGCTCTCACAGTAAAATATATGAGGAAGAGATAACAGGGCTGAGGTAAATCCTTCGTACATTTCCTTTAGGACAACTTTAACATTAAAGACTTTCTTAGAAAGGCTGAATCTGGAGGGTTCCCATTCTGTTACCTTCTAGATTTAGAAAAGATGGGCCAAAATCTAGAAGAGTCAGAAGATGTAGATAAAAGTTTGGCAGAGCAAGTCTCAAAGATGCAGCACCAACCGTATGGACATGGATAACCTGTACGTCATGCCCTCGACATTTACTGAAACGAGATTAAGATACTGAAAAATCCAAGTGAGACAGAGATCTGCATTGCAGCGAGTACATTGAACTTCGTTAGCAAGTCTTCAGACATGGTGCTTATATAAAAACACTAGCTGTCATATAAAAGGGAGCTATGGCAGATGCATTGTTCATATCAGAAGAAAATACAGAGACAGGAGACTAAAATAATGAACAACAACAACCGGGATAGCTCTTTGCACCTAAGTACCCTATTATGGAATTGTATTACTTATATATTGTCCTTGCCATGAAGTTTCTTAGCCCATGATTATATTTAGTGAGGTTAAATGGCACATGATGCTGAAAAAGGAAAGTGACTCTTCTTCTCTCTTTCCTTTTTTCTCTTAAGATTGTTCAGGAAATGAACTACAGAAGGAAGAGCAGCCTAGGTATAATGCTACATAATGGCATGTTTCCTCTTGTAATTCATTTTGGAAACACACCCAAATTGGAATGTGTGGTATCCCAGATACTTTGCTTTTTGTTGTTTCTAATAGAGTTGGCCTTATGAAGATCTATAAATAAGCTAATTAAATATTGCAGTACTAAAACGGGGTTTGTTGAGCTGCTGTAATGCAAAAGCAACAACAGGACTACGGCTTTTTTCGGAGATAGTTGGAAGGAATCCAGCCTTCCCAACATGGCCCTGCTGTGAGGACTTTGCAAAACCACCAGCCACTGCTATTCTTCTCACGGACTTCAAATACAGTCCCTTCTTTAAAACTGCTAGTTTCTTCATCTCCTTCAAAATCTGCCACAGCCACATAGAGGGCTTCTTTGGAGACCTCCAGGTTGGTAATTGGAATGGATACTCTTTCCTTCTCTATAGGCTTGGGCAATGACTTTTGCCCAGAGCTGCCTTTTGGTTTGGTTTCCTCTTGGCCAGGACACGGCAGGAAGGCTTTGGCTTTTGGTGGGACCAATATTGGCCTACTGGACACTGGGACAGCTCGAACTTCAGGCACTTCCTTTTGTGGGACTTTATGTTCTGCAGGGGGTGCAAATGAAGCTGAGGGTGCTGGCACACTTGATTTCTTTGGAGGTGGAGGTCTTCTGGGAGGTACTACTGGACGTTGAGGGGGCTCCCTGGGTACTGGAAAGCTGCTCTTGGATTCATTTTCACCTAGCTTTGATAAACCCACAGGAACTTTGGGGAAAGGAGCTTCCTTAAAAATTTGGCTGTCAGGTCTAGAAGGAGGTGTAATCTCCACGTTGGGCTTTTCCTGAGATTTGACAGAAGATTCTACCAGAAGTCCACTGTTATTGAAGGCACTCTCATTAACCACAGGGTCCTGCTCCAACAGCTTCTCTTGAGCTTTTGCAGGCTTGAGTTTGCTCCTCAGGTTGCAAAGATCTAATTTGTTCTCTGACTGAGGAAGGTCTGTCCTAGGAGCAGGTGCTGGCTTCGGTTTGATCTGAGGTTTTGATTTCAGAAAAAGGTTTGGGGTAGTTGCTTCAGGCTTATCCTCGGGGGGCTCAATCTTTGGTTTCATTGGCTTGCTTGTAGGCCGGAGGTTGGGCTTCTTTATTTCCTTTGGAGAAACCTTATGTCCACACTCAAGACCCATTTCGTTTTTCAACTGGAACAATTTGCCCTTCTCTGTTTTGAGCTCTGGCTTCTTGTTGTCCCTTGGAGGCACGATCTGCTTTGGGGGGATAGCTGGCAAAATCATTCCAGGAGGTTTTGGAGGAGGCCGCTGCTCCAACCTTTGCCTTTCCATTAATTCCTCTTCTGATTTAATTATGGATTCCTTCCTTGGAGGAAGACTTGGTTTCTCTTCCATATCCCGATCACCTATTTCTTCATACCCAACACACAAAGAAGCATCACTATTCTCAGGCAAAGCATCTTGGGGCATCTCCTTTCCTTTCCATTTGATTCCATATTCAATACCATTAGGTGGTGCTTCAGGCAGAGGTCGAGATGGCCCAGCAGAATCTCCATTAAAGCTGTTCTCTGCTGTGCTGTCCCCGAGCCGTAGCTGTGCCATTTCATTTGGTAATGGTGCCAAGAAATTAGGTCTACATGCATTGCTAGTTTTCTTGTATTTGTCAATAAAAGTAGCCGGTGCCCAGCCTTCCTTCTCCTCAATTTGAATATACCACCAACCACTTAGGTTCTTCTCAATTACCTGGAGAAGGAAATAAAGTCACCATTCTTTAGAACTTCATAGCAACTGCATTACCTAAAATTTTTGAGGTTAAGTTTAGCATTAAGATTTTCACCCTTCTATTTCATATAATAGACAAGTAGTCATCTATTTTCAGCCTACAGATTCATCACTGAAAAACTACTTTTAAGATAGTTTACAGTGATGAGTCTGTGGGCTGAAAATGAATATATAGTATGATCGAATCAGTTGATCCTAAAGGAACACTGACTGGCCTTTGGAAGGACAAAAACTGAAGCTAAAGCTCGAATACTTTGGCCATCAAACAAGACGAGAGGACCCACTGGAAAATTGGGAAAGATTGAAGGCAAAAGGAGAAAAGGACGGCAGAGTGTGAGATGGTTACATGGTGTCATTGAGGCATTGTGTCATTGTTCTGAGTAATGAACCCAATCAAATCAGGACTCTGAGGCTTCAGTGAGGCTCAAAAGACCTTTTATTGGGTCAGTGGGTAAGAGTTTGGGCAGACTCAGGGAGACTGTGGAGGACACGGGCCTGGCATGCTATGTTCCATACAGTTGTGAAGAGTCGGACATGACTTAGCAACTGAACAACCGCAAAAAAAAATCACTTCATTAAGTGTTTTCCATTTAATTGATTCTAACCCTAAGAACTGACCTAAGTTAATAAAATTAAAATACTTTTTACTTATATTTTTTAAATTTTATTAATAAATAAAATTATCAATTTAGTGTCATTTTGTTCTCTACAGTATAAATAATAATTAAATAATGTTTAACAAATATATGATCGTTAGCATTTATCATCTAAAATTATTGATAAAATCTTCGTCTTTCTTATATTCACTTTTAAATTCAGCTTGATACAGTGATTGCCACTGAATCCATCTGGACATCTGAAGGTTCAGAGGAGCATATTTAGCTTTTGTACAATACAGGGCATGACCAAAATTTTTACGATGCAAGCCCAAGAGAGAATCAAGCATTTCCAGATGATTTATGTTACTGATCATGAAATGAGCAGTTTTCCTGAATGATTACCTATCTAAGCACGGGCAGGCCATCAAAACATATGGTCCCAACTGACTTCTATATGAGGTACAAGATGCTCCGATATGACAAGAAAATAAATAGTCACTAGATGTCAGCATTGAGCCATCTGTAAATGTGCATAGCCTGCACATCCAGAAATACACTTCTGAATTTTAAAACCAGGAATATAATGATAGGAGGACATTGTCCTATAATTTAGCAGTGCATGGATGGCAGATGAAGATAAGGTCTCCTCCACTTCCTCAAGTTAAAAATACGTTTAATGGGAGCACAGAAAATTTGCCTTTCTTGTAAAGCATCGTTCCCCAAGAGCTACTGATTGGAGTCAAGGAAGATAATCCTCTTTCTTTTATTTATAAAGTCACATAAGTAGAATCTAAGTAGAATCTAATCTAAGTAGAATCTTAGTAGTTGGACCAAACTTTTCCAGTTTGATTTGTTCAAACGTCTTATGAAATTTAAGTGGAGAGAAACAGCATCTTGTTTTCTGGAATATATTTCTGACTCAAGTAGTTGAGATGGGAACAGTTGTAATGAAGAAAGACTTCTTTAGAAAACTATGATTAAAATCACCACACATAGAACTGGGTTAGCTGACAATACTATACCACTGTAAAAAGTATATAGCGAGTTTTAAAGGGAGCTATGTGGAAGAAGCCAAGGATTATGAAGATGGGCTTGACAAAATTTAGTCTCACCTCTACTTTCAGTCCTGCCTGAAAGCTAATCCCATCAGGGATGGTGGTCTGGAAATCAGCAATGGTGTAATACTCTTCTTCCACCTGTGGGGGCACTGGAGGCTTTGGCAAATTGACACACCGTGGCTATTACAAGAATATTAAAAATACGCATTAGTCATCTCCCATCCACAAAAAGCAATTCTTTACACATTAAGCTTTCCAGTCTCCATCTGCAGGGTCACACAGCAAGTGAGCCCAAGGAGATGACAAACCCATAACTCGTTTTTCAGCAGAGCCTCTGCAGAGCAAGAGATGAAATGTTTCTTTGGTCAATTCCAACTATGAAATCAAAATTATGTCTTTATAGGAAAACCAGCTTTTTGTTAGTGTTTAGAAACATATCTAAGTAGAAATAAAAGTGGGGGTCTGCGGTTTTATAGTTAAACCCTGCATTAATTGTATATAGTAAAGTTATTCAATGTTGGAAAAAAAACCCCATGCTATCAGTTTGATTGCAGGTACAAATTCCAGAAATAGACTTCTAACAAACTAGTAAAAACTGTGATTGCATCCCACCCAATTAAATGCCTTGGAAACAGAACTCATACCACGCTGAACCTTATTTACTACTCATATTTTGAAAAGGAAAGGCAAGTTAGACATGCCAATTTCCTCCTTAAACGACATTATAAAAATGCTTTGGACGTGGGGATTTATGCAGATATATAAAAGAGGTAGCAAGACCTGGGTCTCTTTTATCTTCCCAACGTCTTTCATTCCATCTGATGGGTTGTCATCAGACGGCTTAAATGCATTAGGAAGCAACACTTACTATTGTGAGATCTCGACGCGGAGGGGGTCTTTGCCTCATCTTGGGTGACTCTGTCAAAACAAGCATTTAAATGTGCTTCAAAGATATTGGCATGTGCTTTGGAAAACATTTGTGAACAACACCGCATTACAGATAATTTTCGAGCCCAACGTTTCTGTTGCTAAAGCAAGACATTTGTCAAGTGAGTTTTGCCCCATTTTACGACCTTCCTTGACAGTTTTTAAGTGAATCACTGCAGTTCTTAAGCTGGTATAATGGCTGTCAAATGAATCTGGCTTCCCCGTTGACTTTGCTCATCAGAAGGCCACAAAAGGTGATCACATGACCCCAGGACACTGCACCTGTCATAAATGGGAACCAGTTGCCAAGCATCTGAATTTTGATCAGATTCATGAGGATGCTGCAATGATTGTGTGACAAATGGTCATAAGTCACATTTTTCAGTTCTGTTGTAACTTCGAACGGTTACTAAATGAACTGTTGTAAGTCGAGGACTACCTGTATTCTAATCCGAGAAAGTAAATCTCTATAGCTTTTCTATTTGCTTTTCACCATGAGCGGTGCCCTGGCAGCCTCCATGAGCGGCGCCATGAGCCATCTAATCAAGGTTTTAGTAGAACCTGAATCCGTTGCCCTAAGCCAGTGGTGGTAACCTTTTTGGGCTCCTGTGCCAAAAATTGCACACTTGCTTGTATGCGTGCACTCATGTGCCATACCAGCACCCAGAAGGCAATGCATGCAGGGGGGCCCCACGCCCCACGCCCCCTGTGCATGTGCACGTGATTCCCCCCCTTACCTGCACTGCACCTCCCAGCTGATTTTTGGCCTGTTTGAGGCCTTTTTCGGCCTGCCAGAAGCTTGAAGGAAGTCTCTACAGGCTTTGCAGGCCGAAAAATGGGGCCGTTTTGTCACATCCGGCATTTCTGGAAATACAGGAAGTGATGAAACGGCCCTATTTTTCAGCCCACAAAGCCTACAGAGGCTTTCCTCAAGCCTCTGGCAGGCCGAAAAGGGTCTGAAAATCAGCTGGGAGGGCACACATGCGCAGTGAGGTAAGTTTGCCTGGGGCTCACGTCCCCGCACAAATGGGTCTGCATGCTACCTGTGGCACACGTGCCATAGGTTCGCCATCATGGCCCTAAGTACTCCACTGAGTTCCACAGAGGCAGGGTGGGGAAAGGGATAAGGAAGGGAGAAAGAAAACAAAGGAGGTTTTCCTTCATAGATAACTTAGGAACAGTGGAATGCTTGTGTCCCTTGAGGGGAACTTGTAATATCTAGGCACCCATTAGAAATGTTTGAGGGAATGGCCTTGAAGGATAGGAGGAAAAGCTACTACCAAGGCAATGGTCAGAATAAACAGGGCTTGAGCCTTGGCTAAGAAAAGAATGAGCCACTCCCTTGTTCACATGAAGGAAGCAGTGAGGCAGGGGTGGGGGGGGCAACATAGATTTGCAAGATACAGTTGCAATAAAAATAGTCCTAAGCTATACAACATTAGTTTCCTAGCCTAGTCTACCTTGTAGAGCTAACATTCAGCCACCCCGGGTAAAGAATAGATTTATTACCTATGACCCAACCAATTCTCCATCAGAGGAACAAAAAGTTGGGAAGGGTGAAGATTTAGCATTAAAGAGACACAACTGGAGTCCAGAACCATTAAAAACCTTATAGGTTGTCCTGGAGAAGCTGGCAGGAAGTCAAAAGTCATGTTCACGTGAAGTCCTTGCTTAACAACGTGCATGGTCCTTGTTTAACAGTGGGAGTCAGGACTGCTGAAATTGCCATTGGTAAGTAATGCAGTCACATGACATTGCCCTTTATGACTCCATTGTTTAACAATGGAGTTCCCAGTTCGAATTGCTGTTGTAACCTGAGGGCTACCCATACAACAGGACTGCATGAAATCCAGAAAATAATCCCAAATGGTACCATCAAATGAAACTTTTACCATAAGAGGATGGAAAATTCATTCTTTCATTTTAATAATTTTTATTAAATAAATTTTTAGCAAAATAAAAGCTGTAAAGAAAAATAAATTATAGCAAAGGAGTATAGTAACTTTGGGCTGCTCATTTTCTCTCAGCACAACCAATCTCTCAGGATTATTGTTGTGGGGGAAAATAGGAGGAGGAGGAAGGATTAGGTATGCTTGCTGCTTTGAGTGATCAATAAAATAACTGTTCCATATTCTCAATATCTCTCTTCCAATGTAAAGATTCTTAAAATCTACACTAACCTTAACTTTATCCTATCAAGAAAACCATGCCAGGATGGATAAGTTATTGAATGCTTTGGGTGTAATTAGATTAAGTAGTCCAAGACAATTTAAGTTGGTGTAAATTTAAAATTAGATCAAATTTACTATTTGTTCTGGTTTGATTATCATTGGACTACAAGAATCCCTGCATGCCAGTCAAAAGCAAAATGCAACACTCCGTTCAAAGAAAAATGGATAACGCCACTCTAGAGCCATGAAGATTTCTTGCTTTTACCTGATTGACCAATTTTCTTCAAAAGGCATTAAGCACTTTCTTCGTTGTTCCCAACTTACTTCGTTGAAGGTCCACATTGGGCAATGGGCGACCATCATATCTTCCATCTCTTTGATTACTCGGTCCATCCTTGTCTCGACTGGGGGAATTCTGCTGTCGAGAAAGTCCATCCATATCCAATGCATGTGAATGGGCTGAAGCAGCAGATCCCAGTTTTGATGTAAGTAGGTCTCCACTCCCTCTTTTCAGGTAAGATGCTGGGGCCCAGCCCTCCTGACCCTGATATCTAAAGAAATACAAATCATCTGATCTCTTGTCTATTTTTTTTTTTTACTACAGTCAACAAATTCCCAACATAGGCAATCTCATCCATTGCAATGCCCAAAAGCAAAACCAGCATTCCAAATTCAGTGTTAAGATGATGATCTGAATCAGAATGTTAACCTTTAAAAAAAAAATTGCTTGGAGATATCAGACATAAAACTATCATAAGTCACTTTTTTCAGTGCCATTGTAACTAAAAGGAAGTATTGTAAGTCGAGGACTATCTGGACTTGAAAGTTATTCTCCTATCCCTTCATTGAAGAAAACTGCAAAAATAATGAAATAACCTGAACCTTGTGATCTAAAGTTTCTACTTCCCATTAATGCTTTTTCAATCATGATGGGAAATGTACCTGATTTTCCACCATCCCTCCAGATTTTTCTGGATCACCTCCACTGTAGCTCCTTTATCCAGGTTTATTTCATCTTGATCCCGAGCAGCGTAAGGGTAGATCACCATATACTTCTCTATTGAAAGAGAAATATAGCAGTAAAAGAGAGAAAGAGAGAGAGAGAGAGAGAAAGGTAAATAATAATTGGGAAGACATCTTTTTTTTTTCTAAAAACAGAACTAATCTGAAAAATCCACCCATCTTAGATAATTTAGCACAGTGAATGGGCCCTCACAATAGAGTGGAATCAACTGATTGTTGATATTCCACAATACAGTCGAATCTACTGAATATGGTTGATTCTGTCCGTTTTTCACCAAGGGCTCAACGTCACCTTTGAAAGACAGATTTTCATAATTGATAATAAAACTCCTCAAGCCTAATGCAGCCTCAGAATGCCTTTCAAAGAACCTCTATGTTCTTTTTCTAATTGAAGTAGGCACATAAAAATGGTTATTTATGGAACCTGATAATCCAGAAAATAATGTGATACGTTTTTTGTTTGACAGATGACCAAACCAGTTCTACGTGATGGTTTGTTGTTTTTTTTCATTTATTTCAAGTGTCAGCTACAAACTACTAGATGCTTTAGTACAGATGTCAGTTTAGCAATCTTATCAGAACCAATGACAGTTCATTCAAATGAACTATTCATCTGAACAATGGAATAAGAGACATATCTCTTGTCGGCTGAAATACTACGCAGTTATGTCATCTGTTTTCCTGAGGTATCCTGGAAGTAGGTTTGTCATAGCTGTAGTAATTGCTGGCCCTTGTTAAGGTTGCTTTCCTGGTAATTATTTCTTCTTCTAAAGAACTCCCAATTAAACCTTTCAAATAATGCAAAAACATCCTTTATCTCCATGAGCTACTAATGCTCAATTCTTAGGTTATTCTGTAGGAAGTGAACCTGGAATGGCCCTCTATGTAAATATTAAGGATTGTTTTTCAGATGCAGTTTAGAGATGGTTTAGTGTAAAACTATCTCTAAAACAGAAAATGAAGTACAAGAAAAAGTAGAAGCTAAAGTACAAGAACATCACGTCAATGGATAAAGAGCACTTCTCCTTTATCAAGTAGAGGAAAGATGATCTTATACTGAGCATCCATAGAGTATATAAGCCTTCCAAATGATGTCAGGTAATATCTCTAAAAGACCCTACTATCTGTGCTCCTCAACATCCCACACTGCTTTCTCATTTCTACATATGCCCAGTGGATAGAATGGAATCAATTCAACAGAAATAATTTTAATATAGCCATTGAAAGCAGACTCTAACATTTCATCGAAACTTTTCCACTTGTGATACTGTAACAGATCAGGGTATTTTAGGGCAGAACTTCAACTGCCATTTTAGTGGTAAGCATTTTGGATTTGCAAGATTCATCTATCCAGCAGAAACAAATTGCTTCCACTTGCTGTCAGCCACAGTTAAAATGGCTAATGTCAATAGGCTGCAAAAGAGGTGATTTAAAATGTCAGGATGGCATACAATTCTTTACTTTCTGCCAGATCACAGGAAGACTATTTAGGAAGAAAATGAAAAGGATTTTGCCCTAATAGCTGTATATTGTTCTGATTGGGAAACAGTTTAGTCATTGTAATTTTTATAACCTGGCTCCTTTCTTTTCAATAAAGAAAATTTGAGAAGAAACATGCTTGCAATCATTTTTTTAAAATTTTAGACAGTGTCCAAAATGTGTGACAGGTAATTGCTGGCAATTGTTTTAGTTGCAAGTTGAAAAGAATTTAAAAGCTCTTCAGTAGAGTGTTAGCAAAAATGACCCTTTGAACACAAACAAATCTTACTGCAGTGACAATTATGTGATGCTTTGAAGTGCCCCACATATAGAACTACTCTCACATCTAGTAGTTCTACGTGGACCTTTTCCCCTTTCTAGATCTATTGTGAAATGTGTTCAATGGACTGTGGAAAAAAAAACAATTTAAGGTCAAAATAAATGTGATTTTAAATGCATCTTTATATTTTTTAAAAAATTCAAATTGTAACAGCTTTGGGGGGAATGGGATAGGGTGAGACAGAGTGGGAAAAATGATTTTGAAGGCTGTCACAAGCATTGCAATATGTGAGAATTTGCCTTCTCCCATGGACCCTATTTTGTCTGTTGTAGTCCCAGCAATTAAGTGGCTGAGTTTGCATTTAACATGCAGATTTTTTTTTTTAAAAAAAGATAAAAATGCATTTAATGTCAGTTAGGATCAAATAAAATACAATTTACTCAACAGTATAAATGGTCATAATCAGGGTCTCAAGTAGTTTCAAGGGAATGGAAAGGAGACACACATACTCAAGTGTAAGCAGTTTTAACAGTTACAATAAGCAATGTAGTAAGGAAATAGACACTCTGGATATCAATACGAAATAAATTGCATGCAACAATGGGCCACAGTGGACAGCACATGCAAACATAGAGAAAGGTAGTCCAAGAAGGCACAGAAGAAAGCACAAAGATTCTCCACAACATCCACCTTGACCCCATCCACTGGTGTACAAGTCCCCAAGAGTCCGACGGCGACCCACATGTCTGGGAAGAGACCAGTATCTCCATGAGACTGAGATGAGCATGTTGGGGAAGCAGGAAAGGCACAAAACAGGATATAAGGAGGGGGAAAGTTTACCTTTTTAAAAAGAAGATTTAATGCTATAATAAGGTTAACAATGACATGATCCACATACCACACTAAGCAACGATTTAACCATGATTTACCTAATACATCTCAGTTAAGATTGTTCAACACACAAGGAGGTTTAGAGTATATAAATATGTCTTGTTTCCTCCCAGGTAAATGGCAGGGACTTGAGCAGTTTGATTGAAATGGATATACTAAAATGCATCTCGGTTGTTGTTGTTTTTTAATTTTAAAAAATAATTATAATAAAACTTTAGTTTTACCCACCCTCAGTGCAACTGACCTTGTAGTCAGCAAATCAAATTTCCACTGCAATTTCTAACATTTGTATTACTTTGATAAGTTTTATTAGTAGGACTTTACTCCCTTATTCCTTAATAGAATAAACTCCTGTTCAATGAGGAATTTTCTCAGCATAAGATGCCTTCCTCCATCGGTCCATTAAAAAAATTCATAATTCATGTTCATATGCATTCCTCATGAAAATATGGCTTACTTTAGAAATTGCCTTCAAAAGCACTTTTAAAAAACTTTCTGGTCAAAGTGTCTATGGAGATTATCAGTCATACAGGTTATGGTTGTCTCAAAGGTGCTTTTTCAAGAGGCAACCGGACTTTCTAGTTTTTCTTTGAAGAAGTTTTGCTTCTCATCCAAGAAGCTTCTTCAGCTCTGACTCAACGGTGGGGAAGGGAAGAATTTATATTCCTTGCAGACAGCTGATCATTTGCATTCTTTTTAGAGAGTCGTTGAGGCCACTTGGAAGTTTTTCTATGCTCTCAGAGTCACCTGAGTATAACTATTGTTCAGATTCTATGCCCTGGATTAAGCATGAACTGATCATTTGTTCTTTGTTGTTTGAAATCCACGTGAGCACTAATAGAGCTAGTCCTTGACTTACAACAGTTTGTTTAGGGATTGTTCAAAGTTACAACATCACCGAAAGAGTGATTTATGGTCATTTTTCACTTACAAACGTTACAGCAGTCCCAAGGTCACATGACCAAGATTCAGATGCTTGGCAACTGACTCACATTTATGATGGTTGCATGTCCTGGGGTCATGTGATCGCCTTTTGTGTCCTTCTGACAAACAAAGTCAAGGGGGGGAAGCCAGTTTCACTTAACAACCATATTACCAATTTAACAAGTGCAGTGATTTACTTAACAACAGTGGCAAGAAAAGTTGTAAAATTGGGCAAAACTCGCTTAACAAATGTCTCAGTTAGCAACAGAAATTTTGGGCTCTTGTGGTTGTAAGTCAAGGTCTACCTGTACAGGAGATGGGCTTTCTATGCCAAAGTCTGACATGACTTTTGAATGGAAAAGCACTTGAGTGTGAAAGCTTATGAAGAAGGAGCCCCTAACAAGCCAGTCTCCTCTGCCAAAAATAACAAACTAAATGACCTCAATCTTCACAAGAACTTGCTATGAGCCAAAAAATCCATATAGGGACTCCCTTGGAAGTACTCTCTTGGTACTTAAGTATTTAGTGTATTTCCCCTCTCTGAACATTATCTTGAATATTTTATGTGGACTCAAAGCCCCACCAAAACCTATAATACGAAACCATTTGGGGCTAATCTGAAAGAATCTTGATCTACTCCCACCTTCTTCAGTTTGCATCGAAAATTCATCCTGGGCACCATCCTGGACTTCTAGGCACGTTGCGGGAACCCATCCTTGTTCATCCAATGTACTTACAAACCACCAGCCTAAACATAAAGAAAAGAAGGGTTAAGTGGAGAGTCGCAATCTATTCTAGAGAGGATTATGCAACACACTCCATCATGGAATGTTCCATCCCAATCCTATACCAATTGTGGATCACATCAGTCTGTGGTCTGGCTTCCAGTTAAGAAGATGAGAGGCATGCTGAGGTCCCTTGAAATTAGGCGATCAATACTGCACTATCGTAAGACTTTTCTCCTTTCAAACAAAATACGTTAATGTAGTGAAAATAAAGGTAGGCACTTCAAAGGTAGGCTGACATGCTGGGTGCTTCATTTCACTTTCCCCCTACTTTTAATTGCACCACTTGATTTCAAATCTACTAAAGGAGGTTCCATCTGTCTCTTCAGAATGCAAAATTCAAGATTGTTGTCTTAGGAAATATTGCCACGTTTGATGCTGAAACAGTGAATAACTTCCATGAGAACAAACAAAAAATGTGGAGAATCTAAGTCTATTGGTAGTCCTCAATGTACATCCATTTGTTTATCAACTGTTCAAAGTTACATCACTTAAAAAAATGTCTTAAGACCTATCCTCAGACCACAGTCCCATGAACAAAATTCAGGCACTTTGGCAACCAGCATGTATCTATGACAGCTGCAGCATCCCACGGTCATGTGATCACCATTTGCAACTTCCCTAGTCAATTTCCCACAAGCGAAGTCTATGAGGGAAGCTGGATTTGCTTAATGATTGCATGACTGACTTAACAACTGCAGGGATTCACTAAACAACTGTTGCAAAAAAGTTCATAAAATTGGGTCTGGCTCCCTTAACAAATGACTTGCTTAGCAACTGAAATTCTTGCTCTTATTGTGATCATAAGAGCCATGGGGCACAGTGGTTAAAATTCAGGATTGCTAGCTAATTCTGCCATCTGCCAGCAGTTCGATTCTGAGCGGCTCAAGGTTGACTCAGCCTTCCATCCTTCCGAGGTGGGTAAAATGAGGGCCCAGATTGTTGAGGGCAAGGTGCTGACTCTGTAAACCTCTTAGAGAGGGCTATAAAGCACTGTGAAGCAGAATATAAGTCTAAGTGCTATTGCTATCATAAGTAGAAGGCTATCTATTTTTCCATAGCTTTTCACTGAACTGAGAAAGAATGCTGAGAGAGCATTATGAACTGTTGCAAATAGATCATTTTATTTCTGTAGATTTTCCTTTATTTCTTTATGCTTGGATAATAACTCCAGTTTAATTCATATAGCAAACCATTTATTGTGTTCTTCCTATGTGAATTCATAATTCAAACTCTGTTCAGAGTGGATATTTAAATGACTGAGTGAAAAACTTGGAAGTCATTTCAGTTTTGCATAGCAATAAAGCAATACAAGATTAGTAATTTACATAAAAGCTATTAAAATAGAGAGTAGTAAGTTTTGTTACAGGATTTTTTGCCAGCAAAATAATGTATTCAAAGTTTCCCTATGTTAAAATGCAAATCCAAAATAACTTTTGGACCCCATTCTTTATTTCACTTAAACAGGCAAAACAAATATTACTGTTTATTTTTTCTGAAAGTCAAAGTACATCCAAATCCAGACACAGATGCATGAAGTTGCTGAATTAATTATGATTATTCTAGAGGAAGCATTTAACACAAATAAACAATAAAAGCTGGGGAGGCACTCTGTGTATGAACTATTTTTATTTAACTAATATGGAAATTCCAAAATGGAAAGCTGGGTTCTAGATAGCATGTCCCCAAATTTAGAAATTTAGACAAGGGATTTGTGAAATGGAGTTAGGACAAAATCTTACTAGTTTGCTTTCAACACATGAAATCTATTATGCAGGCCATCCCTTTGCCTAAATATATCCTCATTAGAACACATTAGGCAAAGTATATTAGGAAGTTATAAGAAACAAGAGATCCTTTTTAACAAATCGTTTTTTCTGGACTCCTCTATATCCCAGATGATTAACCCTTACCAGATTCATTCTTCTCAATTATATCAACAACTTGGCCAGCACACAAACTAATTTCAGAGCTCTCTTGCTTCTGGTAATCAGCCACCACCACATATTGTTCCAGGACCATGGGATCAGCAGATGACAAATCTCCAGCTATATTGTAGGAAACAAGACAGCATACTTGGTCACTTAAGTAATATCTTGAAAAAATAGTTATTTTCCTCTTTTTTTTTTTTGGCTTAGAAAACTTGCATCTTAGAATCCAGTATGGATTATATAAAGTACATGAGGCAAGACAACAATTGAAATTTGTGAGTAAACCTTTCTAACGGAATGGCCAGGTTTTCAGTTGCAGAATTAATTCCTGGGTTGGCCAGGATGGTAAAATGAACAAAAGCAATGGCATTAACTTATATATTTTAGTTCAATTGGATTATAGTAGACATCTCTTTTGGTTTTTGAGATTTCTGAATGCCACGTAGCTTCGGTTATAATTACAGTATGGAGAAGTTGTGTGCTAAGGTTTGATGATACTTCCCACTTATTTGGGTACAGCACAATTTTTTTCCCCCTGACCTTCAGGAACACCCTCAAGTTTTGGTGATTTAATGGTCGGCGGCAGGGGTGGGCTTCAAAAATTTTAGCAACGGGTTCTCTGCCTGGTTGCTGGGTGGGCGTGGCCATGGTGAGCATGGCCTAGTCAGCCTCCTGCACCATGGCAGGGGATGTTTTTGCCCTCTCCAGGCTCCGGAGGCTTTCCTTGAGCTTTCAGGAGGCAAAAATGGCCTCCCTAGGCTCCAGAGGGACTCTGGATGCCGGAAACAGGCCCATTTCCAGCCTTCCCGAACTTCCGGGAGGCCTGTTTTTCACCCTTCCTCCACGTATGCCCTGCACTTACCTGTGTCCAAAATGGGCCACATAGGGACTCCTGGGAGAGGTGGGACGGGATGGGAGAAGCCAGCCAGGAGTGAGACTTGGAGGTTCTCCAAATTGCACAGAATCTTAGCTAGAGGCTCCCCCAAACCCCTCTGAATCCCCACCAACCCACCCCTGGTTGGAAGTATGTTCATCAGTCAGTACATTATTAATCAACAATGACTAAATAAATAAAACCAGAACAAAAACAAAAATTAGAGAACCAGATTGAGACATTAACTCTGACTCATATCGTACTGTAAATGGATAGACCCAGGATAAGCAGGAAAGATGAAAGATTTTTTTTTTTAAACTTAAAAGCAGAACTTTGATTTCTGAAATCCATCGACTCAAAGGTTTGACTTCCATTGACTCAAAGGTTTGCTAGATTAATTGGAGTACAAATTAGGCTGGGAAGAAATCAATTAAAATGCCCAAAGTCATTAAGCGTATTAGCTAAAATGAAGAATTTATCAAAGTGAGTTTAAAAACAGAAGGATTTTTCAAATGTAATAACAGGGTATTTCCAATGTAGTTAAACTTATTTGGATACCTCATTTTCAACAGAAAAATCTGTATTAACTGGAGGGGCCTTATACTGGGTTTATGTATGATAAATACAACTATTTGATTTCATTTCCTGTGGTCAGTCCATCTGGCCCAGCAACAGCAGCATATCTGTACTTCCGGAGGATGTGGTTTAAAGCCACAAGCTCCACAGCCCTTTAAAATGAAGCTAGTTTTTTCCAATTAAGCACATAGCTTAGAACTTAGAATAACAGATTTGGAAGAGATCTTGGCGGTCTTTTGGTCTAATCCCCTATTTGAGCAGGAGATCCTATACCATTCCAAACAAATAGCTATCCTCTATCTTTTAAAAAACTTCCAGTGAAGACTGCTTAAGTGTTGGATCTTAATTCTAGGTTGGATCTCTCTGATAATCTTCCATCTATTACTTCTTATCCTGCCCTCAGGTGCTTTGCAGAATAGATGGATCTCCTCTTCTCTGTGATAGCCCCTCAAATATTGGAAGGCCATGTCACTCTAGTCCTTCTCTTTGTTAGACTAGACCACACCTAATAAAGAATACGATGAAAAGCTCCTCCTTTACACACCAAATTATCACCCTAATTGCCATCTGTGGGAAGACCCAGAAGATAATGTAACCAAAACCCCATAAGGCCTAGAAAACATTATTCAGCCTATTCATATAAAGAAGGAAGCTTTCAATAGTGCATACAGGAAAAAAAAAATCCAGGATCCGGAAATTCAGAACCACTAGGGGGCAGCAGAGTTACCAGAAAAAAGCTTTGCCTTTTTCAACCTGAGATGAGAAAAGTGAACTGAGCTACATCACTAAGAGAATATTGTACAAGTATTTTTCTTGTCAAATAGGATCTTTATACTCAGTTTTCTCCAGCAAGAAATTCACATGAAATAAAGCACAAGTCTATGTGATCAGAGATTCCTTGACAGCCCAATCCTATGCACAATGTTAAGTCCAATTTTCAGCTAGGTTTTATTCCCAGATGAGGGTATTACTGTATGTGTGACAATAATTTTAAAGTTAACGCTTGCCCTATTACAAAGGCATACATTGAATATTTGGTTTCTTTTAGAAGTATATTTACTACCTATTTAATATTAAATATGCTTAACTTTAGCAATAAGTAGTCATTGCTTTAAGAGGAAGGAAATACCCTTTAATCAGACTATTCTTGAACAGGGATGTCAAACTTGCGGCCTGCAGGCTGAGTGGATCACGTGCTGGCCACGCCCACCCCCGTTTTACCAAAGGGGGAAAAATTGTGATACATCACATGACAACGTGGCGCCGTGAATTTGACATCTGTGTTCTTGAGGAATAGGTGTATTTATTTATTAAATTTATATGCTGCCTATCTCACTGTTGCAGTGACTTTGGATGGCTTGCAAAATGATACAAAGGTAAAAAAAAGAAAATATGAAATGGTTAAAGTAAAAAGATGAAACGAGAAACTAAAAACCAAGAGAACAGAGAACGTAAGGGTGGGGATTCTTCTCTCTACCCCATCTGCTAGTCCCGGCATAGATTGCCTCATGGGGGCCCGAGCCAGCCAATAGAGTCTGGCTCTTCTGGAAGGCCAGGAATGTGGAGACTACAGCAGAAGGCTCTTTTCCTGGATCCTGCCAACTAAACTTATTTGGCAGATGGGATACGAAGTAGGCCTTTTCTGCTAAAGCAAGTGGGACAGGCCAACCCTGGTTTGTTGGTTAGAAATAATTTCTATGCCTATTTTTAAACCATGCATACTAGGCGTCCCAGACTATATAATATGTCGATTCCTCTTTAACTTTTAATTTTAGAGTCAGCCTGTCCATTTCTGCACAGTCTAATATTTTCTTTATGACTGCTCCCTCTGATGGTATATTTCCCTGTTTCCAAGATTGTGCATATGAGATCCTAGCAGCAGTTAATATATGCAGCATAATATATCTGTTGTGATTAAGTAAAGAATAGGAAATCATATATATATTGAATGTAGAATAAATAGAAATATATGAAGAAAATATGTGATATAAATTAGAAATAAGAATAAGGAAAAGAAAATGCAATTGTAGTGTAATAAGATAGTATGTACAGAAATAAGATAAGGAAATGTAAATTGTGTCTTGACATTGATATAATTGTGTATATAATTTTATTTTATGTTTTTAAACCTTTGAAAACTGAATAAAGTTTATTTTTTTAAAAAGAAATAATTTCTACGTAAGTCTCTTAAAATTTTGCCGCTGTTTGCATATTGTGCTTGGCCTTTCTAGTGACTATATCATCCGCAGCACTTCTGTACCGATATAACAATGATGAAGACAGATTTTAACTTACATTGATAAAATCTGTGTGTATTTATGAAGGTGGAATACATTATTCCTGGGGAAACAGCTTGGGACTGAGGGGGACTTATGCAGATAACTTCTTCCAGTAAAGAAGAAGTATGAATGCTGCTTCCCCCTCAGTGAGAGCATCGCCACATACAATTTCTAAGAGGATTATATAAGTGAAGTGAAGACATACAGGAATGAGCTCTCGTTAAAGTGTAGTATTGCACTCAAGGGTGACTCGTCCTTCCATCCTTCCGAGGTCAGTAAAATGAGGACCCAGATTGTTAGGGATAATACACAAAACAATGCTTCTACATTGTAAACTACCTAGAGTGTGATGTAAAGTACTATGGAGCAGTATATAAATCTAAAAGCTATTGTCAATACTTTGCTATAGAAAACTATGTAAGTTTAAGGTCTTTGCAAATTTCAGTGTTCACGATGGTCAGGGACTGATCTAAATTACTATTCCAAGAAAAGAAACAGTTTTTGTGCAAATAAGAAAAAGTAATAAAGGAAACAAAAACAAGCCAGATTCTCCAACTGAGGCAATAAATTGGCCTTGAATCGGATCTATGCAAAGCACATAAATACTATGAAGAAAATTTATCGGAGACACCATGATGAAACCAGCAAGAAAAGACAAGAATATTTTGTAGGAAGAATAGCCTAATTGTACAGTATAGGCAGACTATCGGTGCCAACTTATGACTGCACCACTCTAACTTGTGCATGACTGCGTGATCGGTCCTGGCAAGATCTACTGTTAAATCCATCTTCCCAGGAACATAAATGTAGGATTTGAAAACAAGAGATCATTTCTCTTACTTGCTTCTCAGTATATTCTTAGATGTATTCCAGATATGACTGAGAGTCCTGTTGGTTGGAAATTGTCCAACACGGCTGGATATCACCAAGATGGAAGCTACGAGATTCTAATATCATGGATCTATGATATTCCAGGCGAGCAGGGCAGAGGCATAGTTGCTTCTAATTACAGTATCCTGTCTCTGAAAGATTAATGCCACAAAGGCACAAGTCTAATGTCCAGAACATTGATGACTGGAGAGTCCATCTCCTGCCTGTTGCTAACTGCCCCTCTGGTTTGACTAAAGAATGAGGTCAGTAGAAGGCAAACAACTGCAGGAAAAGAGAAGAAAGTCTTTTTCCTGTCCCTATATAATTACTCACAGTATCCTGGGGCTATTTGCAGCTTTAACATGCAGCTTTGGCACCTCCAAACTGCCTATTACAGCCATCATCACAACTGCAGTAAACAGCATGGAGTGGAAAAAGCTCGAGTTTATTTTCAGCAGCTTTTTCTTCTTCCCAGGACAATAATTCCCAAACACTAGACAGTAAGTATATTGGGGGGGGGGGGATGGCCTTTTTCTGGGATAAGTGTGAGATTCTTAAATTGACCTACTATTTTTGGCTCCTCAGAAGCAGCAATATGAGTCAGGATTGGCTGCAGTGGTTACTAAATTTAATCAAAGAGTTAGATAGAAAACAACATTTTCTACAAATGTATGGGTTAGATAAAAGTTATTTTGTGGAAGATGTGTTAAACTGAGCTCCAAAGTCCAAGACTAATGTAGAAGTATTAGACATGAAGAAGATATATAAATCTGACATTTAAAAAAATCCCACCATTGGTTGCAAGAACAAAGGCTCAACACAGCATGGCAAGTTAAAATAAAGAACCACAACGTTAGAAAATGAATCTGACACAGTCATTGATAACTTATTTCAGGGAATAATAAATATACAGAAGAGATACTACCAGAGAGAAAAAATAAACTAGTTCTCAATTTACATTCTTTAATTACATTATTATTACATTCTTTAATCACATGCATGAAATTAAATGATATAATTTAGACATAGCACAAAGGTTGAGATAATTTTGGGCTTTTGTGTCAAGCTGTGATTTCCCAAACACTGTCAAATAAAACATGTTTTGGAAACCAAATGAACGTTTAGGAAAACTGTGACTTGCCATAAAACCTTATGAAGGAATTCTCCTTATTATGAAGTTTATTGACTTCAGTGTATTGAGGCATATTATTTAAAGAAATGGCCATTCTTCTACATACCCAAACATTTGCCATTGTTTCACATGAGTTTTGGACAACAGGTCTGTTCAAGAATACATTGTTTTTATTTCATTTATTTTTATGTGTTAAGAAAGTTTATATGGCTTCCCAACTACTCATGATGACTCCAGGTGGTTTACAGATATAAATGTATGTTTATATAACTCTTATTTATGAACATTATTGGGAAAAAGAACTGACACCACCATTAAGTGCTGGAGAAGGCTTCAATGACACATTTCTAAAGGCAAGATTTTAAATGACTTATTTCTAGAAATAAGATTTTAAATACTTTTTAATTATTGATGGACAAAACTAAATCATTAGCCAAATGGATACTGACAGATAAAAAGCTCAGGAACTGAGACCTAACATTCCTTTCAAAGACAACAATTTTTATACTATTTGGGAGTAATTTTTGATTACATTAAAGGATTTTCACTTCATTAAGTTTTTAGTATTTGCAAGCAGCTACATTATATACCTAATTGGTTATAGCATATTAGGCTATACATTTTTAACATGTTGTAATAATTGATTTAAATTAATTTTTGATGTCTCCTGAAAATAGATAATCCTTGTCCAATCTAATTTGCATTTCCAACTAACAAGCTAATAGAAATGCTTTAGTTAACATTGTAAATCTTGCTCTGAGGGAAAGCAAAATACCTTCAAAGAACCAATTATTAAACAACTGATAAAAAAGCCTCTTCAAAAATGAGCAAATATAGTCCAGTTTGAACTATAGTTTAAAAATATTAAAATAATTCAAAGTGCTAATTTCTCATCTTCTGGCAATGTTACCATATCTTGATAACAACATATCCATAACAAACATAACAATACAAAGCAAACAATAGATACTAACTCAAGGTTAATCGCACCAAACTTGATTGCAGGAAATACGACTTCAGCAACAGAGTGGTCAATCTCTGGAATACTCTACCCGACTCTGTGGTTTCTTCCCCAAACCCCAAAAACCTTAACCTTAGACTATCTACTATTGACCTCACCCCTTTCCTAAGAGGTCTGCAGGGGGTGTGCATAAGTGTACCAGCGTGCCTACCATCCCTGTCCTATTGTTTCTTTTTTATTCGTATCTATTTCATGTATTCACAACCATGTTTATACTTATACCTGTTATCTTATAAGCAATTGACAAACCAAATAAATAAATAAATAAATCTACTTCAAATCAATTCACAAGCTGTTGCAAATTGGGTTTGACCAGTCAGCCCAATGGCCAATCTTTGTTTAGGGATTATAAGAGAGAATGTGACTCTATTGATTATTCTTGACTTCTCAATAACTTTGATGTCATTGACTATCATAACCTAATCTCTTGGATCACCCAAGAGATCTAAGAAATAAAAAGTGCTGCTCTGTTTCTCTCTCTCATACAGGTTTCACATGGAATTTTCTGGGGACAATCACTCCTTGAAACAGAAGCTATTATATATATACACCCCTCAGTGGGTCTTGCTATCTCCCATTCCTGTCTTTCATTCATGCAGATGAAGCCACTGGAAGATGCCTGCTATCAGTATGTTGATGATATCCAAATATATTTCACTGTAATAGCTGCAACTAATGGCATAGCTCTCTCGAGTGCCTGCCTGCAGTTGGTAATGGGTGGAACAATAAATAAAGTGAATCCAGATAATAAGGAGCTGCTCATTATGAAGTGTCATAAAGCCAGGGAGGTGCTAGATTTCCTTGTTACAAATAGATTGCACGCACCCCTGCCCCCCAAAAGATCACAATTGCACTTTAAGGACATTTCTCATTTGAATATTCTCTATTTTTTCACAAGATGGAAATGGCCTTTTATTAGCTTCAGCTCTACAGTGCCTTCTTGGAAGATAATGGTCTTAGAACTGTAGTGCATGAATTGGAATATCTTCAGGCTTGACTACTGTAATGAAGCTTACATGGATGGGGCTGCCTTAGTTCCTACTTTGGAACTTCCAGTGGGTGAAGAACTCAGCAACCTGGGAGAACTCACTTGTGCTAAAAATCCTGCAATAGCTATCAAGGAATTGAATTGAAATGAATTGAAATTCAAGACAATTTGGGTACAAGTTGCTAGCAAGAATCTCCTTTTACTGGATCCCCCATGCTCTGAATGGTTTTGCCTGCAGCTGCTGTTCATGCTAAATTAGAGCCAAGCCTTTGCAGTAGCCACAGTTCCTGGGAATGTACTTCCTGTTGAGTCAAGAACATCACCCTTTGGTTGCCTTTCCACAGCCATAAGGTAAAGGTTCCCCACACACATACGTGCTGGTCATTTCTGGCTCTCGGGGGCGGTGCTCATCTCTGTTAGAAAGCTGAAGAGCTAGCGCTGTCCGAAGACATCTCCATGGTCAGGTGGCCAGCATGACTAAATGCCAAAGGCACATGGAACACTGTTACCTTCCCACCAAAGTGGTCCTTGTTTTTCTACTTGCATTTTTACATGCTTTTAAACTCTTAGGTTGGCAGAAGCTGGGACAAGTAACGGGAGCTCACTCCGTTATGCAGTGCTAGGATTTCGAACTGCCGAATTGCCAACCTTTCTGATCGACAACCTCAGGGTCTTAGCCATTGAGCGATTGCATCCCTTACTCCACAGCCATAAGAACAGGTTTTTAAATATTTATTTCCTTGTTTAGAATAATTAATAATAATAATAATATACAATTATGAATAATAGATAGGCTTATTCACGTTAAATGCATGTAATTCAATCCTGTGATTAGACATCTGACATTTTCATCATCTGTATGTATGAAAATGAAAGTATAGAAGACTAGATCAGGGGACTGGAGACTAGATTAGGGGGACTGAGGCTAAACATACAATGAACAGTTGCAGGAACTGGGCATGGCTAGTCTAGTGAAGAGAAGGACCAGGGGAGACATGATAGCAGTCTTCCAATATTTGAGGGGCTGCCACAGAGAGGAAGGGGTCAAGCTATTTTCTAAAGCACCTGTAGGCCAGACAAGGAATAATGGATGGAAACTGAACAAGGAGAGATTTAACCTGGAAATAAGGAGAAACTTTCTGACAGTGAGAACAATCAACCAATGGAACAGCTTGCTCTTGGAAGTTGTGGGAGCGCCATCAGTTGAGACTTTCAAGAAGAGACTGCCATTTGTCAGAAATGGTGTAGGGTCTCCCGCTTGGGCAGGGGGTTGGACTAGATGACCTATAAGGTCCCTTCCAACTCTGATTATCCGTTTATCTGTTTAGAAACAAACCATGGTGATTTATCCAAATCCAATTTAACCATACAATTTTTCACCAGATATCCCAAGTTGTTTTCATTCAACACATTATGAAATTTCTTCCCAGATTATCACCAGAGTGCTGAGGCCGCCACCAGCAAAGCAGAACAGTTGCTACATAGTTAGCTGAAAATCAAATAGGTGGGGTTTTATCAACTGTCGTGCAGAATTTTTAAATATTACTTTTTGGTCTCACACTCAACCCAGAAGGAAGCAGTGGTCCTACAAAGCCATGATTGATCAGAATACCCAAGAGAAGCAGTAAATGTTGCCCAGCAGTAAGGAAAGAAAGTTAAGTAGAATGTTTTGCTATTACTACCTCTCGGGAAAGAAGCCGTTTTCTGGATAAATCCTGATGAAAGAACAAAAATGATGGAGAATGGCCATGAGGAAGAATATAAATTCAGAGAAGTGAGAGTATCAGAGAGGTTAACTGTATGTCAGTTTGGATTTTCAAGTTAAGGAAGATATCACCTCTACCAACATAATCAGAGTTATGAATACTAAAGCCAAAACAAACACCATCCATCTAAGAACAAGAGATATGAACTTGGGAAAATCTCACAGAAGAAGCAAGGGGGGAAAAAAAATCTGGAGGATAAAGATAGAAAAATTAGTCAATTATTTTTACTCTTGGAAATCCCACAATCGGTAGATAATTGATTCTATTTCTTCTCATGTAATACTGTAGTTTGGTGAATCAGATTTAGAAAATGTGAAAGGTGAAGTCCCTTAGATTCAGCTCAATTCCTGGTGACTATGTGAATATATGGTGGTTCTTATGGAAAGAACAGAAAAGTAGTGGACCGTTAGCTTTTTTCAGAATTATTTTTAAATTTTCCAATCTAGACCACAAGTCTGGAATATTATGGGGTTTTTCTATCCACATACTTACAGATCCAACCCTGCGTAATAGACATATGCAAAATTAAATATTTTCCTCCTCCTCTGAATTATGTTGATGTGGCAGTTTTTGTGGACTTAAGGATGAGCTTTTTAAAAAAAATCAGCCAAAGGCAACGAACAGTTGCCACCCCCTGTTCAGGAAAGTGAAGACTGTGCTAGCTGTAAGGCTGAGTGTGTATGTCTAACTGATTTCTCTTGGACAGCAGTCTTTCCTCACTCCTGCCCCATGAGACAATTAGAGTTGTAGGAAAAGATCCACTGAAAAGCAGTCCCTGGCCTTGTTTGCAATGGATCTAGCTAACATTTCCCTGTTTGACTAATATATTTAAATGGAGTATATTTAATGGGACAGATTCACTCAATCTTTACGAAATGAAGGTAAATGGTATATGTCTGCAATCTATTCTGCCTTCTTTCTGCTAGGATTCACAACTCAGAGGATATCATTTGTTGTGGAAAGAAAACCTGAAGGAAGAGACAATGCTAAGGGAATAATCACATGTGCATTTCATCAAATATTTGCTGAGCCACCAGGCATCACCAAGTTCCTAAACCAAAACATAAATGTTGGTGTGTTTGAAAAAAATGCAAGTGATTGTTTTGCTTATTAGAGGAAAACCTCAAGGTGAACTTGCAGGGTGAACTTGCTGGCAGAATAGCCCAGTGGGAAAAAGACATCAGTTTGTCTTTGTCATGAAACCAAAGGAGCAAAAGTAATGCAGAATTTAAACTTTTGCTAAACAACAAGAACTACTTTAACTACGTTTTTCTAGAACTACTTTTTAAAACTTCTTTCCATGGTACGCACACTCTCTTCCCTCAGTAAACACTGAGGTGATATCACAAAGAAGTCCACTACAATGTGATGCAAGCAAAAGTAGATCCCCTCAGACATATGGAATATATACTGCTCAACTGGCCTTATAAGTGCCTCACCAAAACACAGAGAAACGCCTGTCAATTGGAATAGGCATGTCCTTTGTTATTTCCAGTAACCCTTAATATTTCCCCTGGTCAAGAGTCTTTGTTTTGTTAGGTATCATTGGATTATATAAATTCTGTTTCAATCACATCTTGTTTAGTACTGTGCTATCTGCTATTTGGTAGGAGATAAAGTTGCAGCTTTTCTCTGAAGAACTTAAGCTGCACTTGAAAATCTAGAAAAAAAGCCAAGGATCTCAAACAGAACATCAGAGTTATTTTAAAAAGGCAGATAAAAGATGAAATCCTCCTCCACTCCCACCCCTTGCCACCTTTTATTTTTGGCATATGCATTTCTGCCTTGCACTAGCTTCCATGCTGAAAGTGGAACAAAATGGGAAAATAAAAAGGTAGAAGGCAAATTCAAATAGCAATTTGGGAAGAATTCATTTAGTTTTTCTTAGAGATGGTTCAAAAAGCATGTAGGTCAGTCAAGCTTTGTAATGTCCAATATATGTGGGCAAATTCAAATACTTTTGTAACCAGTCAAAAAAGTTTGAAAAGAGATAAATATTAAGCAGAAAAGTACAAGTAATGGCCTTACCAGATCTCTTCTTTCCAATTGGTTCACTGAGGAGAAAAAAATTTAAAATCAGTAAGAGTGAAACAGCTTTGTTAATCTGAATCAAAGTGGATTTATTCCAAAAGCCAAGAAATAAAAATTCAGATCTACATAGTAGTCCAGTCACCTGACTGTTTGAATTATAGTATACAGTTCTGCACATTAGTTGCCAACACGATGCTTAAAGATCTTTCATTTTTTCAAAGAGATTCTTTTGATTTTCTTCTGAAACATTCTGACACAAGAACACACACAAATCAGCTATCTCTTTCCTACTTCCTACTCATCTTCTATTGCTTTTCTACAAACATAAAAACAAGAGAAAAAGTAAGGAATGTGTATTTTTCTGGGAGTTGTAGAATGATATACAGAGAATACTTTCTTGGCAAGTTATATGAATTTTAGAGAAATGGCTGATATACGTGTTGACCACAGACCAAAAATGGATAGTGGAGACAGGCCAGAGGAAAAAAGAGAGCCACAAGTCAAAAGTCTATTGTCATATGGCTGTGGTATAGCTTAGTAATTACTGATCTTCCCTTCCAGAAATATTTAGAACTTGAAGTCTCAAAGTTGACTTTTGGAAAATATTATCAAATTTCTGTTTGAGGACAGATAAGTCTATCAGAGATCATACTAATTTACATATTGTCTATCCATTGTGAAAAACAACATGGCAAAAAATGAAGATGTCAGTCCAAATATGCTTCATATATACCAGGGGTGTCAAACTCGACTTCATTGAGAGCCACATCTGGGTTTGACTTCAGGGACCCAGAGTGGGAGTGGCCAGGGTGAGCGTGGCCAGCTTGACATCACTTGTGTCAGGGGCGCCTGTGGTGACTCAAACTCTCTGCCAGAGAAAACAGGTTCCTGCGCTCTGTTTTCCCCCGCAGCAGCTTCCTCTGCAACCCACTACCAGTGAAAATGGAACTCGGGAAGGCCGCCTGCAGCCCTTGTGAACTCTGTTTTTGGCTGCGATGGCCTCCTGAAACCCTCTCCAGTGAAAATGGCGTGTGGCCCTCCCGAGCTCTGTTTTCACTGGCAGAGGCATCGCGGGCTGGTCCTTTGGCTGTTTCCAGGGTAGCCCTGTGGGCCAGATCCAGCCCACAGGCCTTGAGTCTGACACCCCTGATATATACTCTTCTTCTCTGCTTTCCAAGCCACCAAATCCCATTTTCTTGGTGTTTGAGTTCTACAACATTCTAATTGCAATATTTTAGTATGCCTTTTGTTTCTGATTCATTGTACCTTCCAAAGGACTTAATACTGTGACATAGTGACATCAGTTCTTTAGCAGATCAGCACTCAGTAGGCATATATACAAATAAACAAAGGAACTGAAGGCAGAATATTTTTCTTTCCATTTCACATAAACCACAGGCTTGCTGTTCCCATAAAAGCTTCATTAAGATTCTACTGGTCCACCAGCATTAAAAGTGAGTCTAATCTAAGGCTTTGCTTTCTAACTTAAACATTTGACTTTTTCAAACAAATGTTCTAAAATAACATCCAGCTCCACGGAATGCATTTATACCAATACTTTTCACATAGTATATTTTACTTTATAGCTGCTAGGAATGTTTTTTCTTACTTTGGGAACCGCTTCCTCCGGATGTTGAAAATAGATGCTTGTATGCTGACTTTGCATAATTATATCTGCATACCTATGTTTAAAACTGCAGGAGATGAGCCAGTTAAGATGTTAACAGCTGTCTGTCAACAAACAAAGAACAAGACTGTGTGGCTTGGGGACTGGGAACCCTCCCCCCACAATGCTTTTATCAAATATAAAAGAGACAAGCAAGATAATTATGAAAATTATGGATGCACTTCAGGGATTTGGGTATTTTAAGACCTGTCTCAAGGTTGTTTTTTGTGCTTTGTTTCATTTTTGTCTGACGGGGAATGTAGTATATTACTGAATGCTTTCTTCTGTCTGGTTTTCATAAGCAAATAACAAAAGTAGAAAAGTTTTGCCAAAATTGGGGAAACCTTGAAACAAAACCAACATCTCAGTAGGCTACACACACACACACACACACACACACACACACACACACACAATTTGGCCATAACAAAGTGAAGCTCAAAACCAAAACAGGTGCTCTGTTGCTTCATTATTCATTATTTTGGCCAACCTTGGCAAGTGTAACAGGAAACTATCAAACTCATATTGAAAATCCTGGTATCAGGGTTGGGCTTCTAGGAACCTCAGAATGTTTAGAGAACATTTCTCAATGAGAGAAAAGTGATTCTTTTGTGGGATCAGCATCAGTCCTGAACTTGGAACATGCAATCTACAAGAGGTACATCAGGCAAAACTTCTCTTATGAACCCCACTTGGTTTTCTGATACAGTATTAAGAATCAGAAAAAATACGAAATGCAGGAGTAGAACAGACAACTCGCTTTATTCTCTTGTTGAGAATATTTCCTTAACGTTCTGCTGATTTTCTGGATGTGCTCTGAGCCACCAAATAACTAAAGAAATAATCAGAGCACCTGATTATGACATGGAACATGTAAACAAGCTAAATACACTACTAACATGAGCAGCATCCTGCCCACACGATTTTATCTTTCTTGGTGACTTCAATCTACTTCATATTGACTGGACCCTAAATGAATGTACAACTGAACCCATACATGCAACCTTCTACAATGCTGTTGCAAATCTGGGACTGGACAACTAGTAACCAACAACACTAGACTAAACAACTACCTCGATCTCATCTTCTGCAATAGTTCGAATTTAATTTACAGAATACAAACTAAAGAACCCTTTTCCAGCAGTGACCACAATATGATTGACTTTTGTCTCAACATACGCCCACACAAAAATCATCACAATGACTTAATCACCAATTATAACTTCAAAAAAGGCAACTATGATCTTATAGACAATGATCTCTCATCCCTTGATTGGCAATCTTTATTCGCTGGATGCAATACTGTTGAAGATCATTACAACATATTTTTACTTGAAGTCAAAAGAGTCATCAAACTATATGTACCAACAACAACTCCCAAAACAAACAAACAAAAAACAGATTACCCATAACAATAAGGAAACTTCAATCCAAAAAGAGATTACTCTGGCAGAAAAACAAATCTGGTCACATTGCCAATTTCAAAAGCCAATACAAAAATTTATGCCACCAGATAAAGATTGAATGCACCAATTATCACATTAAACAAGAGGAAAATCTTCTATGCACCAATTCCACCTGCACTTTTTACAATTTTGTAAACAACAAACTAAAAGACTGAAGGTCCATCCCACCCCTGATAGGACCTAATGGTAAAGATTGCAACAATGACACCATTAAAGCCAACATCTTTAACACATTCTTCAGCTCAGTATTTGTAAACAGCAATGGATCATGCCCAGTATTTCCTAGCCCGAACCACAGACAACTACAATGATCTAATACATATCGATTTTACAGAAGACAATGTTAAAAAAGCACTATGCAATCTAAAACCATCTGTATCTATTGGACCGGACGGAATATGTGCCTACTTCTTAAAAAAGCTATCCACTGCCATGGCCGAACCTCTAAGCATAATCTTTGAAAAATCTTTCAGGACCAGCTCCTTGCCTAACCTATGGTCACAAGCCACGGTCATCCCCATCTTCAAAAAGGGAGACCCCAGCCTAGTTGAAAATTACAGACCAATCTCTTTTTGCTGCATCACCTGTAAAGTCATGGAATCAATTATTAACCAATCCATTATCCTCCACTTAGAGACAAACAACCTACTCTCCAATAAACAATTTGGATTCAGGAAAAAACTATCCTGTAATCTGCAACTCTTACACTGCAAAAACATATGGACTACACAACTCGATCAGGGCAAAACAATAGATGCAATCTACATAGACTTCTGTAAAGCCTTTGTTTCAGTGGTACATGACAAACTACTCCTAAAACTAAAATCTTATGGTATCTCTGGACAACTGCATAACTGGATAGAAGCATTTCTGACAAACAGACAACAAATGGTCAAAATTGGGAGTGTCCTATCAAATTCTGTACCTGTCAATAGTGGTGTCCCCCAAGACAGTGTTCTAGAACCAATTCTCTTCAAACTCTACATAAATGACCTCTGTGATCATATTAAGAGCAACTGTGTTCTTTTCACAGATGATGTAAAGCTGTTCAATACCACAGACAATACTGCTACCCTTCAAAAAGATCTTGACTATGTATCAGAATGGTCAAACAAATGGCAACTTCAAATCTCAACAAATCAATGCTCTGTCTTACATATTGGCAAAAAAATAAATAAATCAGAAAATAAAATACAAGCTGAATAGTCAAGATCTTGTTAATGATCCAAGCTCTGTAAAGGACCTTGGAATACTCATCTCTAATGATCCAAGTGCTAGAGCTCAGTGTAACTACATAGCCAAAAAGGCATTAAGAGTTGTTAACCTAATCCTATGTAGCTTTTTCTCTGGTAATATCACACTACTAACTAGAGCATACAAAACATTTGCTAGACCAATACTCGAATACAGCTCATCAGTCTGGAACCCACATTACGTATCTGATATTAGCACAGTTGAGAAAGTCCAGAAATATTTCACAAGAAGAGTTCTCCACTCCTTTACTCATTGTAGAACACTTTATGCCACCAGACTTGAAATTCTAGACCTAAAAATCCTTGAATTACGCCGTCTTCAGTCTGATCTAAGTATGGTATATAAAATCATACATTGCAATGACTTACCTGTCAATGAAAACGTCAGCTTCAACCATAACAACACAAGAGCACACAATAGATACAAACTCAAGGTTAACTGCACCAAACTTGATTGCAGGAAATACAACTTCAGGAACAGAATGGTCAATGTCTGGAATATTCTACCTAACTCTGTGGTTTCTTCCCCAAAGCCCAAAAACTTTAACCATAGACTGTCTACTATTGACCTCACCCCTTTCCTAAGAGGTCTGTAGGGGGCGTGCATAAGCGCACCAACGTGCCTACCGTCCCTGTCC